AAAGATCCTTGATATAATTTCAATCTTCTTAAATTTATTAAACCCTGTTTTGTGGCTTAACAGATGAACTATTTTGTAGAATGTTGCATGTGCACAATAGAAGAATGTATATTCTCTTGCTTTGGGATAAAATGTTCTCTGTTATCTCTTGACTTCATCTGGTCTAATGTGTTATTAAAGGCTGATGTTCCCTGGTTGACTTGATCTATCCATTGACGTAAGTGAGATATTAAGGTCCCCTACTATTATCGTATGCTATTTCTCCCATTGGCTCTGTTAATATTGGCTTTGTACATTTAAGTGCTCCTATACCTAGTGTGTAAATATTTACAAATTTTATGTCCTTTTGCTGAATTGACCACATTATCATTATGTAATGACTTTGTCTCTTTTATAGTCTTTGTTTAAAGTCTGTTTTCTCTTATATAACTATCCTTACCCCATTTTTCTTTTGGTTTCCATTTGCATGAAATATCTTTTCCCATCCCTTTACTCCTAGTATCTGAAGTGAGTCTTTTGTAGGCAGCATATAAATGGCTCGTTTTTTAAAATTTATTCAGCCACTCTGTCTTTTGATTTGAGAATTGAGTCAACTCACATTTTAAAGTAATTATTGATAACTATGTACTGCTTGCTATTTTCTTAATTTTGGGGGGCTTTTTTATAGTTCCTCTCTGTTCTTTGTCTCCTCCTGTCCTCCTTTGTGGTTTGATGAGTTTCTTTGGTGGTATCCTTAAATTAATTTCTCTTTATCTTTTGGGTACCTATATAGGTTTTAGTTTTGTGGTTATCATGAAGCTTAATCTATAACAATTTATATTTGTAACAGCCTTGTGTTTAGTTGATAATAATTCAACTTTGAATGTATTCTAAAGCTGTGAATCCCCTCCCCAATATTTTATGTTTCTCATGTCACATTTTATACCTTTTTATCTTCTATATCCTTTATTTATGGTCGTTAGTTATTTTTAATTTTTTACAAATTTTGTCTTTTAACTTGCTTACTAGCTTTAAGTGATTAAAGTTTTACCATATGTTTAACTTTACTTGTGATATTTTATTTTCATATGTTCTTGTTATTAATTGGTACCCTTTCTTTTCGATTTAAATGAGTCTCTTAACTTTTTTTTTTTTTTTTGGAAGGCTGGTTTACTGGTGATGAACTTCTTCAGGTTTTGCTCATCGGGAAAACTTCATCTCTCCTTCAATTCTGGTTAATAACTTCACCAGATAGAATATTCTTGGTTGGTAGTTATTTTCTTTTTTTCCCCACATCTTAAATATATCATGATACTCTCTTCTGCCATTATGACAGGTATGAGGTGGTATCTCATAGTGGTTTTGATCTGCATTTCCCTGATGATTAGTGATGTTGAACATCTTTTCATATGTCTGTTGGACATCTGTATATCTTCTTTAGAGGATTTTTTTTGTTGTTGTTATTGGGTTGTATGATTTCTTATACATTTTGGATATCAACCCTTATAGAATATATCACTTGTGAAAATATTCTCCTATTCAGTATGTTGTCTTTGTGTTCTTCTTTATGGTTTCCTTCACTGTGCAGAAACTTTATGGTTTGATGAAGTCCCATTTGTTTATTTTTAATTTTGTTTTCCTTGACTGAAGGAACATATCCAAAACGATATAACTCAGGCTGATGTCAAATAGTTCACTACCTATGTTTTCTTCCAGGAGTTTTACGGTATCAGACCTTACATTTAAGTTTTTAAACCATTTTGAGTTTACTTTTGTATATGGTATAAGAAAGTGGTCCAGTTTCATTTTTTCCATGTATTTGTCCAGTTTTCCAACACCACTTGTTGAAGAAACTATTATTTCTCCATTGTATATTCTTGCTTGCTTAGTCATAAATTAGTTGACCATATGAACAAGGGTTTATTTCTGGACTCTCAATTCTGTTCTATTAATTTATGTGCCTATTTATATACTGTTTTGATTATTATACACTTGTAGTATAGGTTGAAATCAGGGTGTGAGATAACTCCAACTTTGTCCTTCTTTTTCAAGATTGCTTTGGCTATTTGTGGTTCTGCATACATTTTGGGATTATTTTTTCTAATAGTTATGAGAAGACTGTCATTGGTATTTTGATAGGAGTACATTGGTACATTGAATCTGTAGATTGCTTTGGGTAGTATGGTCATTCTCAAGATATTAATCCTTACAATCTATGAACATGGTATTTCATCCTTTTTGATGCAGTGGGACTGTTTGTTATTAGTGTATGAAAACATGAGGGCTTTCTTTATACTAATTTTACACCCTGCTACTTTACTATTAGACTCCCCTCTGGGAGGTACTGGCACGCTGGACAGCAGTAGCAAAAGGGCACAATCATGGTGCCCAGTGGCTTGAGCAAGGCAGAGGGAAGGCATAGAGATGACACCAGCCAGGAAATAAAAAAGAGAGAAAGAATAAAAAAGAAAAAGAAAGTATAAAATTAAAAATAAAATGTAATTCATCAACTGGAGCAAGGTGGAAGGAAAGCACAAAGATTGTACTTGCCAGTCTCTGTCCCTACAGAGCACCCCAGCAGGTCCCCAGATGTGTCTTACATCCGGTACTTGCCACTCAGGCCAACACTCCAAGACAAGCAAATGAGTGTCTCCCATACAATGTCCAGTACCCCTCATTTGGCTGCTTGTGCATTGGGCCCTGAAGCAAGTGAGTCCGAGTGCAGGAGTCCTTGTAGAGCCATTTTTCCTATCACTGTAGCCTTGTTGGCCTCGTGGGTGTTGGTTTTCAAAGCTAGATGTTTGAGGGACTCATCTCTCGGATGTAGGGCCTAATGTTGGAGTTGATCAATGTGGAGTTCAAATCCTTTGCTCTGCAGTCCGCAGCTCTGACTTTGAGTTTCCCCCTGATTGTAGGTTGGTATTTTCTTTGTGGGTTTATGGCAAGACTGTGTTCCAGCCTCTCCTACCCTCTTCACCATGGGCCTTCTCTTGTTCACCCAATGTATGGAAATCACTTAGCCAGTTTTTAGTTTGTTTTTTTCCGCAAGAGTTGTTCCATATATAGCTGTAGACTTGGTGTGTTCATGGAAGGGGGTGAGTTCAGGATCCTCTTCTGCTGCCATTTTGAACCATATCATCCTAAGACCATTTATTTTTAATCATAAGTATTGTTTATGATATAAGTATTTTGGGTAATAAGTTCAGCTTTGGCCATACCACACAGATTATGATTTATAGTGCTTTATTAATTTATTACTGTTTACTATCCCAAAATTTCTATGGCCTTATAGTTACTTAGAAAGGTAATCTTTAAATTTTCAAGTGTTAAGATTTTTTCTTTTAAATCCTTGTATTAATTTCTAGTTTCACTATATGGCAGTCAGATATTGTGACCTGTGAAATTTCAATTTGAAACAATTAAGAATTCTTTTATTAAGGATTTCTTTACAGTTTAGTATATTAAATTTTTAAAAGTTTGGTTTTATTTTTTCCTTATCACTCAATAAATAAATAATGATTGTAGAAAAAAATTAAATGACTAAGGATAAATAGAAATTATCATGGTTAACGCTTACTGTAGTTATCAATGATTAATATTTTAATTCTTAGTTAATAGTTTTTTTCCATTCATTATATAATTGGTTTTTATAAACATTTAAAGAACACCAGAAAGGTTATCTCTCTATCCATACGATATATATGTATGTTAAATTCAACGAGGTTAGGTCACAGAGAATTAATTTGAAATCAATATGTAATTTTCAAGAGTAATAGTTTAAAATGTCTACAAATAAAATTAAAAACACAGCATAACTATTCCTGGCAATGACAGTAGCAGTAGTAGCTGTTTGCATTTATGAAGGGCTTCTTACATTCTAAACACTCTTCTAAGTGCTTCATATATTCACTGATTTTTCACAAAGAACAGTGGGTCTAAAGGTCTTCAGTCTTCCTCTCATTTTCATTGTAACTACTAAGTTCTCTTAATTAATTCTTTCACATCCCACTTCATGCTTATCCCTTTCTATCCACTCTCCCTACCTTACTCTGGTCTCTCAGCATCCCAAATCTGAATTACTAAAATGATCTTCAAGCTAGGCTCCCCATCCACCTTCCAATTTGTCCTACACGTTTCATTTCTGCTAGCTGTTTTTCTTTAAATATCACAACACATGTCATTCCTTTGTCAGAAAGTACTCAATGATTCCCTCTCTGGATGGAATCTAAATACTCAGGTATAGAAAACATGACCCTTGAAAGGCAACTAATTGATTTCCCGTCATTTTAAAACATGAACCATCTTCATGTCTCTGCCCACAACAGCATCTCTTTTTAAGCCACGTCTCACTTCCAGGAATGTCTGTTTCCCTTGCTTGTTCTCAGAATTCTTACTGTAAGGCCCAGCTGTAGTCTTTTCTTCTTCAAAGTCTTTCTGGATAAATCCAGCCTTCTGAACTAGATCATAATGACCCTATTACCCATTGTCCTGAGTGCATGGCTTGGTGGTGTATTTGTTTTTCCTTCCATTGAAATGTTTCTAGTCTGTTTTATACTTGGTAGTATCCACAGTCCATTTTTTAGTCGTTTACGACTATAATATTATTACATAAAAGACCTGAAAAGCATTCAAATTTCATTTAGATATAACAATTGCTAACAGGGCCTCTTATTCATATAAAGAGTTGACCCTAGATAATCTTATGACTATAATTTCTCCTGTTCCATTGCAGGCTAAATGACGAAGCTCAAAGATCTCACAGAAAGACACTGGATCATTCCATATTCACATATGTATAAAGAATTAGCAATTATGAATCCAAAAGCTGATGCTGTGTTTATTGCCCTCATCTGAATCATTTTAAACTTTGCTTTATGAACTCCTGCTCATCTGCATAACTAGAGTCATAACAAGATATGGTGAAATGTGCTTTAAGATGGTCTAATGAGAGTGACAAAGGCAGGAGTGTGTAGCTGTTTTCTAGTCTATTTACTTCAGCAGCTCTCTATCAATGCCCATACCTGCCAGTCAGAAGTTCATACATTAGGATTCCCAGGGACCAGTAGTCGGCTGAAATGTCATGGCCTTTGTTCAGGATGATCTCTGGGGCCACATACTCTGGAGTCCCACAAAAAGTCCACGTTTTCTTTCCAAATCCTATTTTCTTTGCAAAGCCAAAATCAACCTTACAAAGAGAGAAAAACAAGATATTTCAAGCCACTTATGATTAAGTTTTAAAAGCAAGAAGTTACTTTGCTGAAGTACACTGATGATAAAAAAGAATAAAGAGATGTAAGTTAAAATCCTGTCTTCTAAAAGGAGTCATCTATATTGTAAACAAAGCCTGCCTGGGCAAATTTGCTCTCAATGGGATAAGTTGAAACTTAAGTAAAGGATGAAATTCACATCATTAAAAATAAAGGCAAATTTTCTTTCTGGAAACACTTTCCATTCTTCCTTCATTTATGCCAATGGATGTTGGGCCATAAACAAATAATTTCTCCTCTTTTTAAAAAAATATTTTCTTTATTTACTTTTAGAGAGAGGGTAAAGGAGGAACAAAAAGGGGGAGAGAAACAGCAATGTGCGAGAGATACATCTATCCATTACCTCACACATACCCCTGAAAGAGCCCTGGCCTGTGGCCGGAGCACGGGCTCTGCCTGGGAATCAAACTGCAGCCGTTCAGTGCGCAGGCCGGCACTCAATCCGCTGAGCCACGCCGGCCAGCACAAAGTAATTTCTCCGTTACTCAAAATTTTAAAAAGACTGCTTGTACCTATTTACCGTATTTCTCAGAGTATACGAGTACAGAATTTCTGCTGGATTAAGGGAAACTGAGAATTCATTCAGTGATAATTTAGAAAACACTTTAATTAAAAGAACTAATAACAAAGTTATGAGACCAATGACTGCTCTTAGTAATCACAGACAGATGTGAAAATGTTTCCTTCATTTTTCTAGAAACCTTTTGAAGAAGGATCCTCAAATGCAGAAAATCTATTTTTTTCTAAAACAATTTGGTTGCGAATACAAAATAATTAACTGCCATTTTACTTGGTTTCTTTGAAAAATCTTATGCTGAATAAAAATTCTAAAAGTTGAAAAATTATATCAGGTACTGAGAGAATCAAAGCCTACAAAAGTCATGCAATAAATAAATAAATAAATAAATAAATAAATAAAAACTTACCTTCCATAGTAAGTCTTTAAAGTTCTTGACCAATTTTTAAAAATTATTATTATCATTACACTACTACTATTAACTTGGTCTGTATAAAATTATCTGCAAAGCCCAATTTTCCCAATTGCATTATTGTCAAATTTAAAATATTAAAATGATCCATAATTTTCCATATAAATACCTTTTCCCTTTGGATGGCAGAAGGCCAGATGGAAAAATAACTTCTACAAAGCTCTTTAAGGTCTACGAACACATGCCAGCAAGCATGGATCTACTCTAGCATGTTTTGCCGCGATAATATTAATTCATACCTAGCCAGTTTAATTTCTAATATCATTGAAGAGTAGTTCACTAAGAACAGTAACACTCAAACCTGCTTTTAAGGAAAGTTCTCGTATGTAAAAAGAAAAATAAGATTTTATGTTAGCAAATGAACACAACTTTATACACCAGTATTTTAAAACTGCAGGGCAGAAAATGTGTGAATAACACTAACCAGTTTGGCGTAACCTCGGTGATCTAGGATGAGATTTTCTGGCTTGAGGTCCCTGTAAATGATTCCTTTGGAATGCAGATAGGCAAACGCTTCTACCACACATGCTGTGTAAAATCTGGTTGTAGAATCTTCAAATGAACCTCTGAGATACAGAAAATGGAATGAACATTATATAAGAAATTAGTTCACCTAATAAGGTTTTATTGCTAATTGCACTATATCCCTGTGCCAAAATTTGACCCCAGAGACCAAATCCTACTGGCCAAATGTCCTATGATTGCTATTGTATTGGGTTTTCAAAAGCATTTGGGGATTAAGTCAAGGAGTTCTTTGCTGTTATAAATAGGAGAGTTTAATCTAACTTCCTGAAAACACTGAGGAAGAGTTGAAACACATATCATGTTTTTTGTAGTTGGCAGCTTCCTCCTAATGGCCCACTACAATGAATAAGGCACAGTTACAGTCGTGGGCAAAGAGAGAAAAATCCTATCTTAGAGCTTGTCTATCAAGGGGTGTGTTTTAAAGGAGAGTTTATGAGTTCAGTCGTATTTATTCATAGAGGACTTGTTTTTTAATCTTTCTAAATAATATGGATATGGCTCATGAGAATGTGATTGAAAGTTAATATTTTCAAAGAACCACTTTCATAACAAATTGTGTTACTTCTGATACAATCATATCACAAGCTAAATATTCTTCTGTATTTGAAACTTCCATCAGCAAGACAATACCTACTTCCTACCTCACTACCTTCTTACTAGAAAGAAAAAAAATAGAGCTAATTAGAAGGAAAAAGGTAATTGGATGGGAAAGGTTATTAGTTAACTTGTTTATGATGTTTAGCAAGAAAATGCTCTCTCTCTGCCTGCCTTGTGGATTTATTTAATGAAATAATAATAAAGGGAAAAACCTTGACATCTAAGGTTAGCTCCTTGGTTCCAGGCGAGAACCTTTACAGTTTATTTTCTTTCCTTAAAAAGATAAACTATGATTTGTTTCCTCTGTTCCCAGTGGTAAACACAATTTAATCATTCTGTGATAATTCAAGGACATTAGTGTGAACATCAGCTCTTGAGGGGGCCGAGGTTAACATGCGAGACGAGCACCCAGGCAGTTTTGGGTAGTGTGCAACAAAGGGGAGCCCTAAAACTTGCTGTCGTGAGAGTCACTGATGTCAGTTTGCATTTTGATGACATTTGTTTCTTTTTCAATACTGAGAAGTAAAGGCTAACAAAAGGGGAAATGAAACATGGTTGCTATTGTATAAAATTAATCAGTGAATCCAAGGCTGAAGCAGCCAATTTTCAGATCATTTATCAGAAATATTGTGTCTTCCAGAAAGATATTCTTCACGTCAACTCTTAATGCCCCTGAGTTGTCACTGGCATAATTAGCTCATCCCAAACGAAATTTTTCTTCTGAAGGAAATTTGAAGCATGACGATATCTCTTCTAGATAACTAGGACATTTAACTATGATTACTGAGATTTTAGTATCTCTCTTCAACAATATCCAAATAAAACAAATGTGAATTATAAGGGCAAGAAACACTTGAGAAGAACTGCATCTATATTAGGAAATAAATAATATGCTTTATGTTGACATTTTCATCTGCTTGGAGTTACCTTTGCAAAGTTAATACTATATAATCCTGTGTATTGCAAAAGGGATTAAGGTAGTATATCTTTATGGTCCTTCTTCTTTGTGCTTAATTATGTAGATTTGTCTGTCAAGAGCAGTATATTCCTTTCAACTGGAGAGATTATTTGCCTTAAATAGTAAGCATCCATAATAGATCATTACTGATCTATTAACATGGAGATTTAGCTACTTAGTGTTATGATGTCAGTCCTCAGTGGAGAGCACTGCAAAGCCCAAGCAAAACAAAAGAGCCCATGGAATACAGCCTTGTCTTATTTCATACTATGCCTTCTTTTAATAAGAAAATTGATTACATCTTTGTATCAGGACTAATTGTAATTTGCGTGGACCTTTTGAAAAGCCTACCAATTCTTGATTACTGTTAGAAGAGATTATTTCTGCAGTTGGGACTTTGGGTAACATATGTTTTCCTTAATACTCAGTTGTTAATGTGACCAAAGTGACAAATGCATTGTTAATGTTGTAAGGAGGGTAAACACTTATGTGAGAGATCAGTTTCTCATGAAAGCGCTGCTGAAAGGTAGTCATGTTTATATTCTGAATAACCTGATTATTCACAGATGAAAAAATCTTAATAGAACTCAAAGTCATTAAAGGAGGATGTAGGCTAAGAATATGGAACAAGAATTCTGAGCTCAAATCTGGGTTTCACTTACTGTGCAACTAACTAGACCTTCCAGGGTCTCAGTGTTTTCCTGTGCAAAATTAGACTAATAACAGAAACTATCTCACTGGGTTTTCATGAGCATACATGAATTGATGCATACATTTAAAATGAGTGCCTGCCATGCAACTGGTGCTCAATAAATAATAGCCATTATAATTAAGCACAAAAACCTCTTCTTTAGCCACTATATTAATGGAGAAAAACTGATACAAGCTGGGTCTGAAGTTTTGGAGGGATGGGAATGGGGAGGTTACAACACTAATTATCACTGTTACCAAGTGTCTGCTTCTTCTCACTGCTAAGGCTAGCTGCCAGCTTTGAGGAGCCTTCTGCTCATGTCTGTTCCTTTCACTTTTCCCATGCTTCTCACAAATGTGTGGGCAAAAATTACCCTTTTATTTTCTGCCAATTGACATGCTCCTTTTTTTTCCCCCATCAGGAGGTGGACTGACCACGAGCTATACATCTTTGGGTCTTCAGGTCTTGACACACCTGTTTATTTGTTTCATGGTTTCTCTTCTCCTGAGCCATTTTGGAATTCAGGTTTTAGAAAGCTGATCTCATTTGTTCAACAGATCTATATTGAGCATCTCCCATATATAAATCCATCTGTAACTCCTTTTGATAATTCAATGAAAACCTTAACTCAATCACATTTCCATGTTATATGATAAATCAACACAATATATGAACCCAAACTATCCACCAGCAACTCGGTGTCATCATTAAACTTTTGCTGTAGGTAATTTGAGGATTTTAAGATAATTCTTTTAGAAAGCAGTCACAAAGCATTGTATTAGGGTGACTCAAAATGAAAAATTACTATTAGAATTGGGAATGACAAAGTAAACTTGAGCTAAAACACAAATGAAAGCTTGTTTTATCAACACTTATAAGGTTGCTTAAAGAAATAAATCACTGCCTCATAGCTCTTTGAAATAATAAATTATGCCTTGACAATTCTGTCATTTCAGTTACAAGTAAGGGATAGGTTCTTATACATTTTTGGGGAATGAATATTTATTTTGACTAGGTGGCACTATATAATGATTTTACTGAGAGAATTAGATGGTTGTGTATACATATTGACAGACACATATTAAAATTTTATCACAATGTTTAATCCACTTGACATAAACTGAGTCCTGAAATGACAGAATGTAACAAAGACAAAGCATTTCTTACAAAAAAGATAAGTTCTTTCCTTTCACTGACTAGTAATAGAAATTATTAATGAGTGTATGAACATGAAGTGCCTTGCAGCTTGCGCAGGTTCCTTGCCCATTATAAAATTTGGGGGGGCGGTAAATGATTATGAAAACACATTCATCTTCTTGAAATATTTTCAATCTATGTCATCTATTATTAAATTTTTAAAAATGGAATATAAACAATCACCTCTATACGACTTCCAGTCAAGATGGGAAGTAGGAAAATGCTGTGCTCACCTCCTCCCATGACCACATCAAAATTACAGTTAAATTATACAAAGCCATCATTGAGAACTACCTAAATACTAGCTGAACACAAGTCCTGTAACTGAGGATATCAAAAAGCAGCTGCGTCAAGACTGGTAGGAGGGGCAGAGGCACGGAAAGAGCAGGTGCCACACCCACGTGCCATGATTAAGAATCGGGAGGGATCTCTTGGCTCTGGAGGTTCCTCCTGAGGAGGTAGGGGGCCCAGCCCCACACCCAGCTCCCCAGCCCAGGATGCCAATGTCGAGAAGAGGAGTCCCCATAACATCTGACTGTGAAAACCAGTGGGGATTGCATTCCGAGTGAGACCGAGTGCTTCTGGTGTACCAGGCGTTTCTCTTTAGGAGCCGTGCATGGATTGGCTCACTCACGATCCACTAGCTTTGGGCCCCAGGGCAGAGGCAGCAGCTCAGAGTGCCAGGGACACATGGGGAGGAACTGAATGGCTTGGCTTCAGGGTAAGGGCTGGAGAAACAAGGGTCAGGGCGGCTATCTCTGGGGACCGACATGCTGGCAGGTGCAGGAACATGCCGAATCTAAGCTCCCCATTAACCTGGATAACAGCATTCTCTCCACCAGGGTGGTTCCCTGAGATGCAGCAACACCCACCTCCCATGTCTGGCTGAACCTCTTCCAGTGGCTCCCCCACAAAAGTGCCCTGCTTCAGCTAAACCTGCAGACTTTCCTAAAATCTTCCAAAGGCCCACAAACCCCAAACGAGCAATAGCCAGACTCTGCATGACCTTTACTTCTTGCTAAGAGCCCCCAAGCCTGGCATAAGAGGTGACCAGTCTCACTTTGCATTGTACCTCTCATCAGGTGGACCCACGCTTGGCATAAGCTGTGGCCACTGCTGGCCTAGAGCATAGTTTCAACTAAGTGGCCATAAACCTGGCACCATAAAGGGCTGGCATCAGCCCACATTGTGGTGCCTACCAAAGGAATCCAAGCCCAGGATTAGCGGCAGCCAGCCTCGGTTCTCAGCATAGTTTTTCCCAAGTGCTTCCAAGCCCAGCACAAGAGGCAGCCAACCATAGATCACCCTGCACCTTCCACTGGGTGGCCCTATGCTAGACACAAACAGCAGCTGACTTTGGCCCACATTGGAGCCCCTCTGAACCTCCAGAACCAACACGTTGGGTGGCCAGCTTCAGACCACACCGGAGCACCACCTAGCCAGCACCACAAGTGACAAACCCAGGGCAGACTGGGCTGCACCAGAGTGTCACTAAAGCAACTCCTGCTCCATGGGGTCAGTGCCTGCACACCAGCTAGTCTGCGGGAGTAGCGGCCCTCTCTCAGACGGTGTGAGGATCAATCCCGCCATGATGTGGCTGTGGCGATCAAGAGTCACTGCAACAGGAGGGCCCACACACACAAGGCGCACTTGTGTGAAATGGGGTTGGGGGACAGACCAAAAGGTGAAAGGGATCAAAAAGTACAAATTGACACTTACAAGGATAGTTATGGGGATGTAATATACATCACAGGGAATATAGTCAATATAATAACTATGTATGGTGTCAGGGTCCTAGACTTATTGGGGGGTCACTGCATAAGTTATATAAATGTCTAATCACTGTGTTGTACACCTAAAACTAATGTAACATTGTATGTCAATTGTAACTGAAGTTTTTTTTTTTTAATTTAATAAGTTACTCTCCACAAAAGAGCTGGAATCAAGGAAAATAAACATAGAAAGTCACTTCCTGGCCTAGAAAACACATCCAGAAAGACACATGACCAAAGTGAGATGTGCATGATTTGGAAATGTTGGTTCCTAAAGCAATTATTTAAGAAATTTTGGATAAACTGACATATGCATTAAAACTTTCAAATGAAGTAAATAGTTGAAATATTAAACTTCAGTAGTTTAGAATATGTAATAAATACTAATATATAAACACTAATGTTCTATACTAATATAAATATTTAAATATATATATATATTTTTAAATCATTTTAACCACCTACATTTTTTAAAAAGTTTTAGGGTTTCCAAATCTTTCAGTGTTATGGAAGAAAGGTAAATAAAATATAGTTTGTACCAACCTCCTCCAATAATGGAACAGAATTTATGGAAAATCTATGGCAAGCAAAATGTCACAAACTACAAGATAAACCATCATAGTAATCAGTAAATAGTAAATTTAAATAGTAAATAGTAAGAGGAAACAGGAAAGTGATTGCAATAATTAACATGTCATTGCTATAGTTCATATCTCAAAGTAAAAACAAATTGAATAGTCTTCCAATTCTGTTCATACATATGATATCATTTTAATTCTTCTCGATAACAAATAGAAACTCCTCTGCGTCTCCTTTGCATGCTGATAAGAAGAAAGGGCGAGGCGGGAAATGGTCGTGACAGGTGCTAGGTGAGAGGAGAGTGACTGCTGCTCTCAGAGAGAGACTGGCTGAGCTAAACCCCCAAGCCTCGGGGCTATGACCGCGTATCAGTAAAGAATCGGTCACATCGGGCCCTCTCAAAATTAACTCAAATACATTTCCTTAATGCTTTCCAAATAGCTTCTCCCTTACTGCTTTTTTTCTGGGACACAAAAAAACCATGTCATTGATTATAACGTAGAGGCTTCTGCCCTCCTGAATCTTTAGGTGGAATCAGGTAGCTGCAGTTTCTAGAGATCATGCCTCCTCAGGGAATATTACGTACATTGGATGGGGGGTGGGGCTCAGCAACTGTGTACCCCAAGGATGATAAAAAAGGGAAAAGAACAAATCAGCCTGTTGGAGGTAGAGAATGGACAATTCATTGATATTTTGCTTCCATGTATTGCTCCCAAAATAAGCTGCTTCTTAATAGCAACCCATAGCTGCCCTGACAGATCAAAATGCATCTCACTCAGAAGCCTTGGCTGGCAATTATGAACCAAGAAAATGCAAACGCAAGTTAAATAGGGAAAAGTAGAAAATAATATTTTCTTTCAAATAATAAGTTAAAATTGGATGCCTATGTAAGATTGATGCCTCACAACTGGACTTTACATCTATTTTTATGCTGTTGTTGTCCAGTTAAAGCTAATAGAAGTTTAAAATAGTTGTTCCTTTCTTTATGTGCTTATTATTGCTTTCATGTTTACTTCTACCTGTAAATCTCCTAATTAGAACAAAGTAGAGATTTCAAATAAATCAGTAGATTGAAAGATCGGGTCAAAATAATATATAGTATATATTATTTTATATAGAACCATATTAGAATAAACCAGACATAAACTCACAAATGAGAATACTAAGCTTGTGCAAGAGCCTGTGAGTTTGAGAAGTGGGACCACATCTGTTTCTCTGTGTATCCCCAGCCTCTATCAGAATGCCTGGAACATAATCTGTACTCAAATATTAACTAACAATATTAATGTAATAATCCATAGTATAGATGTTAACCCTGTCCCCTAATGCCAACATGATGTGTTCTCCTGTATGCTGATTTACCTTAAATAAGGTACTGTAAGAACACAATTAGGAATGAGATTTCAAATCAATAGTTTGCACAGAACCACTTGTTCTGTTCTGGGATATCTATAAAGTAACAAGTTGTCAAAAAAAAAATAACATGGCTTTCTGGGAACATAAAGGCTGACTACAGTAGAGTATTAGAAAGAGTATGAGAGGTGAGACTGTAACAAAGAAAGAGAAGAGATGTCTAAAGCTGAATGTTCAAAGGAACAAGGATGATTTTTTAATGTTATTAGATTATTCATAGGAAATGATCAAAAATCATTCACTGGAAAAGAAAATTGTGGTCTTTCTTTCTTTTTTTTTTTTCCTTCTCAGGGGAGAGCGCGAACGCAGTCCCCCACTACCACAAATTATGCAGCCGAGTGTCCCACATTTGGGGAAATCACAGGGGCCGGAACATCCGAAGTGCAATGGATAAGCCTCGCCCTGGGAAAACCACCTTCGTGATCATGGTATCTCCCCTGCCAGGTAAGTATTATGTGGTCTTTCTTTTAAGTAAATACTTAGGGTTGGTAATAATCTCCCAAGTCATTTTATAGAATATTTTTAAAGAGATTATTTGCTAATTGCATATGAGATGGAAAATTAATTTTGCATAATTAAAAAACAAATAACCACAAACTAGAGCAACTTTACTTTCCCTGAAATGACAAAAACATGGACCTCTAAATTATATTGTTTACATGTTTACATGAAATACTTATAAGTGGATTCATTTTTTTTTTTTTCCCAAAGACCAGCTAACGCCTGAAAGGAATGGCTGAATATGTTCGCTAGTTTTGAAACCAAAGAGTAATGTAAAGGTAGAGGAAAAAGTTACTTTGGCAAAAATTCTCAGTGCTGGGAAAGGCAGACTGATCATCTGGAGAAGGAATAGAGCAATTAAACTGATAGTTAATCCAGATTGCAATTATACAACAATTCTAATTCTCTCCACATTTCAGAAATGAATGAATTCTAGGTGCAGTTGTTTGATTCACCAAAATTAAGTTAAACTATGATCTTTATACATACCTTAATAGGTACTACTTTTATTGTGGGCTATGCCTATACCATTAGTTACAAATCTGAAACACGGTGAGTTTCATAGTTATAGTAAATCATGTGTATAGTGGGTTGTGCCCCATATTTATGTTATATTTTGAAACATAAGCACATGTTAAAATGTAAATATTATTTTTATACTTTATAATTGTCTCTTCTTACAGACCACCATAGTCAACTACATTTTTAAAGAGATGATAGAAATTTCTTAAAACTCCTACCTATCCCTGAGAATGGTCCAGAGCTCTCCACCTAGGCAAGCTTCCATCAACATATACAAATATTTGCTGTCCTTAAATGTTCTGTATAGTCTGTGAATTGCAAACAAGAAAACAAAAGTTATAAACATTATTGCCTTTCAAACGCCTGTAAATGTTTTGAGGGCCATGATTAGAGTCTTACTCTTGATTTGCCAAGCTTTACATTTTATTAAAAAGATAAGAGAGATCTGAATTTGCAAATAGGGGAAAGGAGGCAATGGCTCATGACTAAGAATTGCACATGTTAGGGCATTAGTCTCACCTTCGAAATTTATTACTCCCAGTGATGCTGGGCAAAGAGGGCTTCTTGGAATTTCTCCAATTCCCATTTGGTTGGTATTTCAAGCATGGACTCTTGAGCAATATTTAGTGGTTATATACATCCAGTGTAGACAGATAGGAAGTAGGTGATATTTGCAAATACAGAAGAATGAAATTTGTGCTCTGTTCTCTTAACGTTCATATTATATCCTGTTTTCAGCAAATGCCATGGGCAAATTAACTAGAAAAGCTTCTTCAGCATTAAATATACTCCCAAATATTTTCTTATTAGTTCTCCAAAAAAATCTGAGGTGGAATAGTCATTTCATTTTTAAAATTAAAAAAATATATATTCAAATGCTTAAAGGTAAAAGAGTTTGATTTTTGACATTTTTGTCTTTCAAGCACTGGAAATTTATGTAGAGTTTTGGAGTAACTGAGAGGATTAAAATGAAACATTAGACACCCTAATACCCCTTTGGGAAAATCATGTTCTTTCCCCAGAATCTGGTTGTCTTTAAACAAAAAAGAAGATAAAATCAAATTTTTTTTCTCAAACTATCTTAAAATTAAATTTAAAATGTTTCTTCCCTGGCTGGTGTCGCTCAGTGGATTGAGCACTGGCCTGTAAACCAAAGGGTTGTTGGTTTGATTCCCAGTTAAGGCACATCCCTGGGTTGTAGGCCAGATCCCCAGCTGGGGGTGCATGAGAGGCAACCATACACCAATGTTTCTCTCTGCCTTTCTCTAAAAACAAATAAATAGATAAATAAATAAATAAATAAAATATTTTTTAAATACGCATTTGTGTGTGAATGAATGTGTATGGTATCAGTGGCAGGGGACTATGTGGTTGATTTGCACCTGGACTTGGGGACTTCGGTCCCCAAGGCAGGGTCTTTACCTCACTATGAAGTCGGAATGAGCCCCCTGCATGATCTGCTTCTCTGAGCGGATGTGCTCCTGTTGTCTTGTATCCACAATGTGGCGTTTCTTGAGAATCTTCATTGCAAAGGTTTTGGATTCTTCGCTTTTCAACTGGACCTTAGAGAAAAGCAGAAGAGAGTAAGACAGTGCCCATACAGTCAATATAACAGGGTGCATTCCGAACCCCAAACCAACAGGTGCATGGAGCACTTTAGTGACACCCCAACCACCACAACAAATCCTTGCTGGAATTGGGTTTAAAATCCAGGGCTCACAACTATTGTCCAGTCTCACTCTGCTAGATGAGATGAATTTTAACTTAATCGAATTCCTGAATAATTTTGTGCCAACTTGAATTAGAAGAGGATAAATGTACTCGACTGTCATTTCATATAACATGTTTGAGAATATTTGATACTTTTTCTCCTTCAATCATAGAAACAAAATTTAATTTCTTCTCCAATTTTACTTCAAATGAGTGTGGCAAAAGTAGGACCCTACGGGCTGTATACTCTTCCTTTTTAGCCCTGGTCCACATTCTAAACTGTAAAATTCTGTGCAAATCAAATTCTCTGCTAAGACTGCAAAAGTATGTCCTTTTATTTCTTCTCCTTTAACTTCCCAGTTTTCCCTTCTCTCCAGTTTCAGGAAGAACAAGGGGCAAGGGAAGAAGAAGAAAGAAAAACAGTTGTAGACAAAATGTTTTCAAGATATTTTGAAAACTTTTTTTTCTTCTCAGATATGCATGATAGTTGAAATCCTCTTGCACAGATTGCTCATTTATTAGGTATGCTGTTGGGAGACCCAAACTGTGCCTTGCAGTCCTCAAGGTCTCCAGGCCCCACATGGGCCCCAGAGGCTCTGGAGTCCTCAGACTGGCTGCTGGTCTGTGTTTATTGTTTTACAAAAAAATTCAACAAGGGGATTTATAATGAAAAAAGGAGAGAGATAATAGAACTAATCACTTAATAGCAATATTAAAGAATTATTATCTAGTGCTCTCCAGTAACCTAATCCTCAAGATAATTCCAAAAGGCCCACATTATTAAGAAATAATAAAAAGCCTTTGAGGAAATAATGGGACAAGCTGTTTCTGCTTTTCAGCGGAAGTAGCCATCCCCTGCTTCATTGTAAATTGTTTATTCCTCGTCTGCAGGGACAGTAAAGTTCTTAAGGGTCTTGAACGTGTACAGATTGAATTCAATCTGAGAGGATATTAATGTGGCAAGTTTCTAGAAGAGAACATGAGGGCTCTTCAAATAAATGGGCCTCAGTTTGTTGCCAGCATTTGTGAATCTGCGTGACAGGTCAGAGGGGAGAATGGATAACTGAAAATGCCTTAAGCCAAAGGCACTCTCTAATCCAGCTGTGAAACTCTTTAAAATGACAGACTGGTGTAATGCAAATAAATTCAGTTGTAGTTCTTAATAAAACACAAACTGTGAAAACCTGCTTCTCACAGAAATTTGAACAGATAGGAAAGATGGCATGAAAAATGAGCCGTGTTACTCAAATTTAGAGGGGAAGAAACAAATCATATTCCTCTTTAGAGTCTTAGTTAAATGACTGAAGACTCTTGCACAGTTCACATACCTGGTGTAAAAATATTCTCTTTAGTTATGATAACAAACATTTTTCCTGTGCATAGGGTGGGAGAAAATAACTCAGCCTTTACGGTCACAGGTCTGGACTTAAATCTTGACTTTACTTAAGGCCTCTCCGTCTCTTACAGAGTTTTTGTGACCTCAGATGAAAAGGAGCCACCAAGTGGGCATTCGTTGATAATCTCTCTTCTCTTTAAAACAAAGCCAGATCATGTCACCCCTTTGCTCCAAACCCTCCAGTGGCTTCCCAACTCACTCATGGTAAAGACAAAGTTGTCACAAAGGCCTACACAATGCTATATCATTTGGAACTTTGCTACGCCTCAGCCTTGCTTCCCACTTACTCCATCCGGGTCACCATGGCCATCCTGCTGTGCCTCGAGTACACCACAGCAAGCTCTTGCCTCCGGTTATTTGCTTGTGCTATTCTCCACAAGAATATTCTCTCACAGATATTCCCAAAAGTCACTCTCTCAGTTCCCTGAGTTCTTCACTCAAATGGTTCCTAATCAGAGAGTCTCTCTTCACACAAGCCTACGTAAAAGGGGAACCACCCACTTCTCTCTTTTTTAGTGTTCTTGATAGCTCTTATCACAAGCTAATACACTAAATATTTTCTTGATTACTTGTTTAGTATTTGTCTCCTCACACTTGTCTGGAAGCAACCCAAGATTCGTGATATTTTTTGTTTGTTTGTTTACTGTGCCCAACATAGTAAATGCTCATGAAATATTTGTTGACTTAAGTGAATCAAAGAAAGATTGAAATAAACCATGATGATTTATCACTGGCAAAGCAATAACAGAGCTAAGCTCCTAAACATCTAAGCTCCACATTGTGCATTTCTGAGCTTAACAGGAGAAAACCAGGGAAGCTACAGTGACAAACAATGCAGTATTTGGTCTATTTCTTCCTTCCAAAAGTACCTTTAATAATACATAAAAGGGAAGAAAATATTTCTATGTTTTAATGCTGTACAGGAAACATACATGACAAAATATCTATATAATTTAGCCCTGAATTTTCAATTTTTATCTTTATAAGGTGTCTTAATTGTGTTTTTTTCCCCAGATGACTAAAATGATATTCTCAATTATAGGAGCTACTAGATTAATAAAATCATCTCTAGGATAATGTCCACTTGGTTGCCAACTAGCACTTGGGATCAGTTAGCTCTTGAGACTACAGCCATCTCTTTAGACTTTAGCCTTCACAATACTTTAGTTCCCCTCTAATTAATAAATTCTATGATTCCAAGTGCGTTTATCCTTTTTGTTATGACCAGCTTGTTGCTGTTATATAACTATACCCATATGTTTAATCACTTCACTGTAGCCAGGATTTTAGGTTGAAAAATTTACCTACTTTGCTATTTCTTAAATAACTTTAAACTTTCCATTAGGAAGAATTTAGGGAAATCAGTGAAGCTTTCAGCAGCAAGTCAGAGAGAAATAGGGAAAAAACCTTCATTAAACATGAACTGTTAGACACATCTATAAACATTATTTCATTTAGTCCTAAAGTCAACTTTTAATGGGAGAAGGAAGTTTTGCTTTATATTTACAAATACTTCATAATCAATAACAATAATAGCAAGTGTTAATAATGTTCTTATTAGGTGTCACAAGCCGTGTAGTAGATGAGTTTTCTTACTTAATCTTCCTGACAACCCATTGAAGATACAATTACCATACGATTCCTCAGAGGACAAACTGAAGATTACCAGATAGGTTAATATCTTGCTTCAGCCCAAAGAGCTATCAAGTAGCGGAACTGTGTTCATGCTCAAGTTTTTTTGGCCCGTTCTGTTTCCATTATTTGCTACTGCCCACCAGGTGAATAAAAAATAAATTAAAAGCACAGAGATTGGTGCTTTACAAATGAGAGTTTAATGGAACTGGCTAACTCATAGACTCTCTGTGAGAAAAGCTGAACCATGAATTATTTATTGCCTTTAAACTTCATTCATGCTAGACATGTAGTTTGAGAAATCAGCCAAATACTCACTGTCATTTTTTGAGGCATTTACAGAGACCTCAGTTTGTTATCAGAGATCTGCACATCTTAGTGTTTGGATCCTGCAAGGAGAAGCCAAGGGTGGTGGGGGTTTGAGGGTGTGAGGAGGTAGGAAAGGGTGATATAACAGCTGGTGGGTAGCAGATGGCTCTTGCCAATGGAAGGCAGGTAGAACTTATAGAGATCGTTGGCAGTCAGTCTTATTGATTGCCAATTTAGTAAGTATCAATTATAAAAAGTTCACAAAAACCTATAGCCTATCTACTAAATTTTTCTATTTTATCTTTGCTTGAGTGGAGGCAGCCCTAGAGCTAGGACCACTGTTTACACTCTGTAAATATTTCACTTGTTCCTTAGTGCATAGCACTTAGAATGTCTACTTCCATTTTAAATTAGAATGCCACAGACTCACAGGAAAGGAATGCCAAGGTCCTCGCAGGAAAGTTAGAGGGATAGGGACTGCCGCTGTTAGCTAACTCAGCAAAGATAACTGGTTGTGTTGAAGATCTCTGAATAAGGTCCAAGTAACACATTAATGAAAAATTCCCTGATGAGCTGCTGACTAAACATCATTTCAGAATGCTCAACTATCAGATTTGCTATCCCAAGTCTCTGGAGTGTGCTTCTCTGTACTCTGGTGTAGTTCTTAACCAGATTCACAATATTAGACAAAAGGCTTATAATAAAACTTTCACAGCCATGTAAACCAATAAGCCAACTATCAGATTTTCTACTCATGTATAAGCTCTAGGTTGTTTTGTCTCCATCATTTTCCAATATTCCTCTATTGCCAGGCAACTCTTTATGGTCCTTTGAGATATGGGCCTCATATCTCAAACATAAACTCCATGTTCCAGAAACAGCATAACCAGTTCAGTTCTGTAGCAGTTGACTACAGCGACAAAGGTGAAGCAGGTATAAAGTAGCCATAAAATTATCATAGTCTTCAAGAAGAAAAAAGGCATGAAGTAGCTGTACCTTTCATGCTCCCCTCCACCCCCGCCAAAACCATATGGAACTAGATTTAAAATTATTTATGTAGAAAATAAAAACATTTAGTGCAAAACAAATTTAGCATAAGAAAATATGAACCTGAAAGGGCTAATATTTAGAGATAAAAAATAAGTTAATAGTTGCCGGAAGTTGGGATGGAAATGGGAAGTACTTGCAAATAGACACAAGGGTTATTATTGGAGAGAGAGAGATGTTCTAAAACTGGGTTGTAGAAATGGTTATACAATTTTATGGTATATAAATTACACCTTGCAGGGGCACAAGGATGGTTCACCTTATGCAAAGTGATCAATGTAGTACACCATATTAACAAAAGAAGGGATAAAAAGCATATGATCTTAATAGGTGCAGAAAAAAAGCATTTGATAAGATACAACATCCATTTATGATTAAAACACTCAGTAAAATAGGTATATAAGGAAGGTACCTCAACATAATAAAGGCCATATATGACAAACCCTCAGCCAATATCACAGCTCAATG